ATAATATGTAATATGAGTATATTAATGTCGCTAGCTCCAACGATTAGGCGTATCAGGAAGTTTTAATCATAGCTGTTATATATTTCAAAACGCAAACCCGGAAAAAGATTGTTCAGAAACATTCTGCACACCCTTGGTTTCTTCTGATCCTTCGTGGCCGCTTTGATCCACCCATTGACCTATATAGCCGCTTCAATCTTCTTCAGTTAGCGAAATACAGAATTTACGCTTTTCTTTCCCTCTTGAATTTCCACTGGGTGCAGCCAGGGTTTGGTTCTCTACGTCCGCAACTTTCTTCTTTTTGTTCTTCTCACCACGGCTGCTCACCCTTGATTTCTTCCCCGAAGTCTCAACCTTTTCAAAATCTTTATTAGTTCTTGTGACGGCTAAAATTTGTTTCTGATCGGACTTTATTTTTGGTCCACCTTCTGACGCCGTCGATTCTTTCCCCGAGGTCTCAACTTTTAGAGCTTCTCCATCACTTTTTGCGTTGGCTACGATTTGATCCAATTCATTCGAAGCTGTACCATTGTTGCTCTTCACATGGAATTTTATCTCAAGTTTAGGTTTTTCATTGAAAACCGTTGATTTCTTCTCCGAAGTGTCAACCACCATAGGATAACGAGAGACTGATGAAGAAGCGATTTTCACCGGCGACACACGGAGAAGTTGGGTAAAGGTTGTGATCAGAGAGAAAATTTAATCATGACCTTGTATTTATACAAGTGAAGCTGTGAAGCCAATTCGTAGGGGTGTAAAATATTCCAGGGAAGTTTCTGTTTACTTTCTAAGTAAATGGATTTTAATTTAATTACTGACAATGCCCTCAACTTTATTTTGTGGGTTTCACTCTCAGAGTTCAATTTTGACTAGAATTATACTTCTGCGAAATTAGTGCCAGATGTTTCTCATATTTGGATAAATAAATATATTATTAATACTTATTAGCCACTGAAAATGAATATATGTATTAGAGAATTGCTTCTTGAGATATATAGTGATTGTGTGGACGATCATATATCAATATACTAAATAGAGATGGATATTTAACAAAATTTGCCTAGAGATTACATCAAGTAATTCTTGTTACAAATACATTATCAATAAGCTAAAAGCACCCATGAATGATGGGATCGAAGCATGACAATACTAATACACTACTTTGTGTTTATCAACACAATCTCAGAGGCATTGGAATAAGATAACTAATATTGCAACTATATACTATTTTCTTACTACTCACTCCAAGTATATTAATTTGAATGTCAACACTATTTTGTATCTGAATGTCTGTTTTGTAATACTGAGATGTTAACGATTTTTATCATCTAAATTATTAAATTATTTCAACTTCTCTCTTCTCATCATGTTTTTGTATATATTTTGTTATATATACTTGTGATCATGGTATATTCCATCATTTGACATAGCTTTAAGTCCTCTTTTAAAACTAGAGTGAATTTCGTTTGAACAGTTGTTATAAATAACTTGGATTAAGCTAATGATAAGTTAATGCAACAAAACAATTGAATTTACCAAATCTGGTGCAAAAATAGAAGAACAAATTGATACACTTAAATAGCTTAGAACAACTTATCAAACCCCATATACTAACAGCCCAAAAACATGGAATAGAACCAGAAAAGCTAACAAAATAGAAAGGGGCCACACGACCTAAATTAATCAATTTTCTTTCGGTACAACAAAACCACTCAAATAACTAGAAAAGAAAGATGAAAACCACTCATCGAAAAAAGTTTCTTCTAATTTGTAGGTTGTTTACATACTCTTATAAGTCGTAAGAAATCAATGGCGTTTGCAACTTGCAAGATGATATGTAAAAGGGGCTTCTGTTAATATGTGTCCGTTAATGTAAGAAACGATAAGGCTTGAGTCTGCGAGCGAAATTTTGAGTCATCCTTCAGTTCAGCCTTTTAAATTTTGATGCAAAGAGTTGATGAACGTACACAGTTTGTTTTTAATTTAGTTGTTTGTTATATCAAATTTCTTTACGATGGTTGTTTCATGTTTGCTTCTGATATTTTATAATTTGTTATAAACTTTTAAAGGACAATAGTTCATTGGAGCCTGGAATATGAGCCCATGTACAGTGAGATATTCTGTCTATATTTATTACAGTGGGAAGAGTAAATGACATTTTCCCACCCAAGGTTTGAAGAATCTCCAGTTACGGCCCCTGATTTCATAAATTACAAATTCTTATCCTTAAATTAACAGAAAACTATTTAATCTAATAGTTAAAAGGGTAAAATACTTATTTCAAAGATAAAAAAATTTAAAATAACCCTTCACTTCTTAATTCACCCTATCGAAATTTTTGAAATAACCCTTCACTTCTCAAATTCACTCCACCAATGATTTCAGGCCATTCTGACCTATTTCTGGTGTAGTTGACCCCTCCCAACACCACCATTACTATCCCTTTAACCCTCACATCAAAACCCCTAACTTCCCTGCTTAATTGAACCCCCTAATCGACGACCACCGCTTTTAGTGTCAGTTGACGTTTCATCCAAATTTCGGCAGATCTCGACACTGAAAACCACCCCCAAGACCACTAATAGCATCGCCGACTTCGCCCCACCAAAACCCCTAACAACACCGACTGCAATTGCTCGTCGATCGCCGCCATCTCTCCCTTAGGTTTTCGCGTTCTGTTGCCCCTTTCCAACTAAATTCTGGCATTTCGCCGAGGTGCAATCGGGTGGAAAACTTAGGGCTTTTGGTGAGGAGGATAGGGGATGCTGATGGTGGCATCGGGGATATCCAATGGTGTCGGAATCAGGCTAGATTTTTGGCTTGGTCGGGATCTCCTCTGGGGGTTATTTTAAAGGAAAAGTACGGTGTTAATTAAATGGTGGAAATCTGTAATTTATGAAACCAGGGGTGGGAACTTGTAAGTCTGCCAAACCTTGGGTGGGAAAAGATCGTTTACTCCCGTGGGAATAACTAATAATTCTTGTCAGCTTAGGTGACTCCAATCCATTCGTTCTCAGCGTGACTTATATCTACCATTCATAAATTCTATAAATGTGGAGGTCCCCTCCCCTCACCCATATGATGGNCTTAATTTAATAGAATTTTTTTTGATATATCGTCGAAAAGGTAAAGTGGTCTGTATTGGATTAAATTTGAAATAAAAATAAAAATTTCAAAATGACTCTCCACATCTCAAATTTCTCTCACAAACACCCTCTCTCAACTCACCACCATTGCCAGCTGTATTCCGTGGATCCTTGCTCGATTTCTCATCCAAATCGACAAGATTTATCACCCTCAACCAAACAATCAAATTTCCTCACATAACCAAACAATCAATCAACAAATCAAAAGAAAAACCCAAAACAAAACAATCAAACGAAATTAATCGCCAGTGTGTAGCGGCGAACGATGGGATACTGTGGTCGGGGATGATAAGGGTTTTGGAGAGAGGGTGCTGGTGAGTCCAGGGATGGTGGTGGGAAGGGTTAAGGCTGTTGAAATAAGCCAGAATTCGACTTGGGATAGTCGCACGTCGTGCGAAAGAAAATCGATAATGGTGGGTGAGTTCGCGGGGGAAGAGGGTGAGGTTTTGGTGGTGGATGGACAAAGGTGCTATGGGTGGTGTTGGGGAAGGTTGCCGACTCCGAAAAACGGCCAAATCTGCCTGAAAAAAATTTGCGCACGACCTAGAAATGGTTGCTGGAAAGACCAAATTCCGGTCAAATGGACAATTAATCGGCTTGAGGCTTGTGAGGATGGGCTAAGGGTGGTGATTCCAGTCATTTCCGATGAGAATACTGGTTGGAATCCGCTCTAAATTGTGTTAAGGGTGTTATTGAAATAAATTTGAAAATAATATGAATTATTTTTAATTCTACTAAGTGGGAGTTAAAAAGTAATTTATTAATTTATTTGTTGCAGTTTGATAATAGCATTCTCTATATTGTGTCAGAACCCAAATTCACTAAAACTTTTAGTCTAAAAATGTTGATTTAAGAGTTAGAAATATAGAATTTATGAAACAAGGGGTGAGAACTTGTAGATGCCCAAAACCTTGGGTGGGAACATGTCGTTTACTCTATAATAAATGCGAGCCACATAGTCTCCAGTCCTGGGTTACATTCATATCTGGTATAATGCATGATGGACACGTGTCAAACTCTCAATTTTACCCAACAGGAGGCGTAACAGAAAAAGAGTGTTCTACCCTCAGTCAAAATAGAAGATTAAATAGAAGATTCTCGTCTTCTCATTGACAATGGCAAATAATATTTGAGTGCAAGATTTTGTGTTCCACTTCAATAAAATGGTGCGGAAAGAAAATCCACGTTTAATTAAACACAACCTAAAAGAACAGTAAGAGAAAGAACCCGTACACAATTGAGTCCCATCGACCATCGTCAACTTAAACCGTAAAGGAAATAAATAAAAAATCTAAGGGTAATATTGGAAAAATGTCTGAACCTATTGTTTGCCTTTCCAGTTTCAGGACTTGTTCTTCTCATATACATACAAACACAAACACCTCTCTCTCTCTCTCTCTAATTTTCTTCAGTTTTGATTCTCTCCTCTCTTGAATTCTCCTTGTCCTTTTTTCCCTTTTGGGTTTCTCCCATTGAAGTTTTTGAACTCAAACAAACAATTGAAAAAGAAAGATTTTAATGAAAGTTTATTAGTTCCTTTAACTCTTCAATGGTGTTTCATTCTCTCATTAAAAAGAAGGAAACACCAGAACAGCCACTTGACGTTGCTATGGCTTCTTCAACAACAGTCAAATCTCAGCCTCTTCATAACTTTTCTTTACCTGACTTAAAATGGGCCATGAACCAAACAAACACTCATCGTTTTCGCAAACTCTCTGATTCTTCTCATAAATCACCTCGAAGCGACGCCGATTGTGAGTCCGAGTCTCCGAAGCAGCTTCTTGAAGGTGTGAAAATCGTTGATGGAATTGAAAAGTCGGACAAGAAGAAACTAGCGGTGGTTGTTTCATCGGATGATTTGGTTGAGAATTCAGAGAAGAAACCAACCGTTTCATCTGATGGTAGTAGATCGAAGATTTTCATAAGAATTCGAACCAAGAACAGTAAAACTGCTGATGAGGTTGCGGATACAGGGGATCATACCTCTGTTGCTGAAGACGCCGAAGAATCAGTGCCGAAGACGTGGAACTTAAGGCCGAGAAGAGTGATCACTAAGGTTAATAATAATGCGATTGGAGGTGCATCAAAGATCGGAGGAGCTGCGGTGCCGGATAACAAAGCTCAGCCACCCACTCGCCCTGAATTGACTCGTAACCGGAATATTGTAACAACCGAGGCGAAAGTTCCAGAAAAGAAAGAGAAAGAGAAAGAAAAGAAGCAAAAGTTCTCGATCTCGCTTGCCAAGGAAGAGATTGAAGATGACTTTCTTATTCTGACAGGGTCCAAGCCCGCCAGGCGACCTAAGAAGAGAGCGAAGAATGTGCAGAGGCAACTTGATGTAAGCCACGACTCTGTTCTATATATTCGTTTGTTAAAACATTTTTTTGGTTTTCAATTGTGCTGATTCTGTGTTTTTGTTGTTTTCTTCAGTTTGTCTTTCCGGGTTTGTGGCTGGCCTCCATAACGCCTGATTCCTACCGGGTTAATGATGGTCCTGCCAAGGTATTATGTTCTGACCGTCTGATTTGTTGACTTTATATGCTAGTTTTACGGGGGTAAAGATGTGATTATATCATGTGTTGTTTGCAGGGTTAGATGGGACTTTGATGTTTTATAGTTTTGGGGCAAATTGAAGGTGAATGACTGCAGTTAGAAGTTTTTGATCTCAGCTGAAGGTATAGCGAATTATGAGTTTATAAATGTAAAGATGAAAGGTTAACATATGTATGTTGTTGTTGTGCCTTTTGTCTGGTAAATGTGTGAGGAGCTCAGAGTTCGGCAGAGGGGTTTTATCATAAACTGTGTCATGACTAGTTGCCGTTGTACATATGAATCATCAGTTGAATGAAAGCTTCTTCATTTTCCAATTCTATGAAATGGAAATTTCTTACATGCGAGTTCATGAGGTTGTTTTGCTTTTAGTTGAAGAGGTTGAAATATCAAAGCAAATACATATCATGTATCTCAAATGATCGGATGCATTCTTGTTTTTCACGGATGTGATAAAAACAAATTTGGAGTAAAAATTGATAGTATACTGATTTCTGAATAATGTGAGGGAAGTGTCAATTTCATGGAGTCAAAATAAATGTACGAGTAATTGTCAGTTAATCAAGTTGTGTTTGATTGAATAGGCTGAATTATATAAACGTGTTGGGCAACCCTAATAGTTAGGATACACACTTGTGATCACTCTCTATTTTCTTTCTTTCAAGAATGGCACTTTTAGGAGCAAAAAAGGTTGGTTTATCAACTTCTAGTGGAGCAATGAACATGCCAGTCTTTAGTGAATAATCAAGTAATTTTGTCTGGTTTATACTCCTGTTTGAAGAGTGTGAGCTAGACATGAGTCACCTTGTATTAGGGCAAGATCTGTCTGACTGACCTTCGATAAATGAATGATGTGTAATTTAAGTACTTAGGTGATTGACACGTTTTTTTTTTAGCATTGTGTCGTTATGGTTTCTAAATGTGTTTTACAGAGCGGTCAGTAAGGCAAGTGTCATTATTTAATGGTTAAGTGTTTTGTCATGCTTATCTTTCTTGTATGAGGGAGCGTGGGAAGTAGATGTGAGTTTCCATCTGTCTCTATCAAGATGTGAGCTTTCCAACACATATCGTGCAAATTGCTGTAGTCAGGCTATTGACAATATGCTTTGATCTTTAGGTTCTGGAATTGCATGTGACGAAACAAGAATGCTTAGTTCCAGATCTTGATAAATTTAAGGATCTTGCATTCTCCATAGTGATGTTGTTTTGTCTCGCTCATTTCCTTATTTAAGACCATGTGGATGCACGTAGTGTTACGTTCTATTAATAGCAATGTGTCTCGTAATGGCTCCACACTCTGGGAGTATGCATTGTTAGTGTGAGGCAAATAATCTATTGTCTTCAAATGTTTGAGTATTGAAGCAGGGATATGTGCATATGTCAAGTTTGTTTTGAGTAGATATCATTGTATTTAAGTCTCATTCTCAAGGGACAGCAAAAAAGTAACAGAATTATTTTCATATCATGTTCTAATGATTTTCAATGTGTTCTATTTGGGCATGTGCATTATTGGTTGCAGGCATTCTGGAATGAATGTAAAGAGTGATTTGTAGATAATGCGTGTCTAAGCTGTGAGTTATTGGCTGCTGATTTTGACATACTGTAGGCCTGGATAAATGGCTTTTCAAACTTCCAAGGCGAAGGTCTTTCCAGTATATTGCTGATATAGATAGAAATTTAATTTTTCTCTGGTTGTGATTTGGCTAATCAGATGATTGCTTAGAAGTCTCTCAGCTGATATCTATTGTCATCTACTGTGTCCTGTGGTGGTTGTGTTCATAATAGTTTATACTTGTATTAGCAACAGGCTTATTTATCCGGTTGCATCTGGATCTATCAATAGTAAAGTTTAGCGCTGACTGATATCATTTGGATGAACTAGTTCTGATTTCTTTCTATAATTCAGCATGAAGCAAATTGATTAAGCATTTTATCATTTCAAATGCAGATGCGAGCAAGAAGTTTTGTTTGAAAGATACTTTTGACTCAGTGGAGTTTGTTATTTCATATCCTAGCTGTAATCCATACATCCTATATTACAGCTTGATCAGTCTTGCTTTGTGAAGCCACAAGGGCCTTTCTCAGATTAAGGGTCAATGTTTTGATGATTCTCCTGTTATTTGAATTTTGAGAAATGGTGATCTTGTTTTCAAATAAGAATATTTTCTGAGGGAAGTGTTAGTATCAGTGCATTGAGTTAAATTAAAAGACGTCGCACATTAAGAAACTGAAGTTAGATATTTTGTTCTGCTATAAAAAGGATATATGCTATACAAGAGTGGGGCTATATACTCAGCCTAAAGGGGTGTTAGTGTTACATGAAGTGAAAGTTTCGAAAGTTGGAAGTTGCTTGGAACTTTGGAATGCACTCAATGTTGCTGAATGCCTCCTGTCTGAAACCACAGGATTCGTATAATTCAGCAACTAAAGGTGGGCGTGGGCCATTACTCGGTTAACGTCTAATACGATATCTCTTTGGATTAATATTAAAAATATATAACTCAATAAGCAATAAAGATTGGATATTATATTTAGGTGTTTGTAACGCAGAAGTCCCGAGTTGTACGGTCTCTTTCAAAAACATAACTTCCTCTGCTTTCACAACTCTTGAAAAGGCTAGAAGAGTCTTCTTCCTCGTTCAATATGACTTATTGAGAAGTAATCGTTGATCAAATATTTGTTTAGATAAAAACCTAACCATGCCATCCAAACTCTACAAAATTCCTGAAATCACTTTGCCATTAAAACTTGTTCATAATTCTGGTTGAACTGTAGCTTCTTGCAAATCAAATTTCCTCTCTCCTACTGACCGAAATACCAATTCGACGGTAGAGGTTCAAACTCGAATAAAATCAATGGAAACAGCATCTAAAGTTGAGGGAGTACTTTAAAAAATCAACTTGAAGGATGACGTAGTTGACGGGAAAAACGGCGATGAAACAAACCGCATCGAACCAGTGGGCCAAGTCGAGATGAAGATGAGTTTGCTTTCGGAGGCAGAAAAACAAAGCATTGTAACAGATAAAGAGGATGCAAGGAAGGAAAGCGTTGCATCGAGATAAACACGAAGCGGAGATTCTCGATATCTCTCAGTAGGGAGGAGATTGAAGCGGTATTTTAGCAACAGGTGGATCGAAACGACTCAGGAGAAGCAAGAAGAAAAGAGCAAAGTATGGGCAGAGAATACTGTAATCTCTTCCTGGATTGCGCTTGAAATCAATCACGATAGAAGATTATAGAGTTTCTGATGCCTTGATCAACAGCAACAAAAATATTTAGATTTTGCAAGAAGTGGTGTAATATGATTAGAGAATTATAGATTTTAGCATCAGGATACTTCTTGTTGAAGCTATAGTAGGGTAAAGTAAAGAGAGCCGCCACCTTGACTTCCCGCATCACCATTTTAATCTAATTAACCAGGTCTACATTATTGATAGTCTTGATTTCTTGAATGAATTATTCCACTTGATAATTGAGTGTACGTCTCGTTCTTTTACTTTATTCATTAAGTATGATTAACGAAGTTGATTGTTTGTTGAACTTGGAGAGAAACTATCAGCCAGGACCCAAGATGCTTCAAAGTAGTTACTTTTAAGAAACCAACTCTCCTAACCATTCAGAAAGACTGGAAAGTCTGGATCAATTGATTAATATCCCACGTTTGCTGAACTTGGAGGAGAACTTCAGCCAGGACAATAGGACAACAAGACCTCTGGTAACCCACCCAGATGGTTAAAGTTTAACCTAGGCCACAAACCGTCAGATGTAAGGGGAAGGAAGATTACATAATTATAGGGGGTAAGTCCCCCCTCAGGGGATTTAGGGTATCTGTTATGTATTTTCCAACAACATAACATAAAATGTCACAAACGATGCCATGATGGTATAGAGAAACTATAAAAAATTCTTGGAATATGAAGAAAAAACAAAAAGATACAGGCAGATTTTGATGATGTGGTAATTAAATTTTAGTTGACTAATGCAAATAAAGAGTATCATTTTGCAGTCCTCTCTCAAAGATACTATATATTGCCTTGACATGATTCTCCATCAACAAATCCTACAAAAAATACTTGAAAACCATAAGAATAAGAATAGAAAGAAGAATTTTCTATTGATTGTAATGCACAAACCTTACTTGCGTTAACTGACAAGAGTTTTACATATAATTATAATATGTAATTATGAGATTATATATAATGTCGCTAGCTCAACGATTAAGGCGTATCAGGAAGTTTATAATCATCAGCTGTTATATATTTCAAACGCAAACCCGGAAAAAGATTGTTCAGAACATTCTGCACACTCCTTGGTTCTTCTTGATCCTTCGTGGCCGCTTTGATCCACCCATTGCCATTATATCCGCTTCATTTCTTCTTCAGTTAGCGAAATAACGAATTTACGCTTTCTTTCCCTCTTGAATTCCACTGGGTGCAGCCAGGGTTTGGTTCTCTACGTCCGCACTTTTTCTTTTTGTTCTTCACCACGGCTGACCCTGATTTCTTCCCCGAAGTCTCAACCTTTTCAAATCTTATAGTTCTTGTGACGGCTAAAATTGTTTCTGATCGGACTTTATTTTTGGTCCACCTTCTGAGCCGCCGCATTCTTTCCCCGAGGTCTCAACTTTTAGAGTTCTCCATCCTTTTTGCTGGTGGTACGATTTGATCCAATTCATTCGAAGTGTACCATTGTGCGTCTTCACATGGATTTATCTCAAGTTTTAGGTTTTCATTGAAAACCGGTGATTTCTTCTCGAAGTGTCACACCATAGGATAACGAAGGACTGTGAAGAAGCGATTTTCACCGGCGACACACGGAGAAGTTGGGTAAAGGTGTGATCAGACGGAAAATTTAATCATGACCTTGTATTTATACAAGTGAAGCGTGAAGCCAATTCGTAGGGGTGTAAAATATTCCAGGGAAGTTCTGTTTACTTTCTAAGTAAATGGATTTTAATTTAATTACTGACAATGCCCTCAACTTTATTTGTGGGTTTCACTCTCAGAGTTCAATTTTGACTAGAATATACTTCTGCGAAATTAGTGCCAGATGTTTCTCATATTTGGATAAATAAATATATTATTAATACTTATTAGCCACTGAAAATGATATTGATTAGAGAATTGCTTCTTGAGATATATGTGATTGTGTGGACGGTCATATATCAATATACTAAATAGAGATGGATATTAACAAAATTTGCCTAGAGATTACAATCAAGTAATTCTTGTTACAAATAAATATCATAAGCTAAAAGCACCCATGAATGATGGGATCGAAGCATGACAATACTAAACACTACTGTGTTTATCAACACAATCTCAGAGCATTGGATAAGATAACTAATATTGCAATATATACTATTTTCTTACTACTCACTTAAGTTATTAATTTGAATGTCAACACTATTTTGTATCTGAATGTCTGTTTTGTAATACTGAGATGTTAACGATTTTTATCATCTAAATTATTAATTATTTCAACTTCTCTCTCTCATCATGTTTTTGTATATATGTGTATATATACTTGATTGGAATGGATATTCCATCATTTGACATAGCTTTAAGTCCTCTTTTAAAACTAGAGTGAATTTCGTTTGAACAGTTGTTATAAATAACTTGGATTAAGCTAATGTAAGTTAATGCAACAAAACAATGAATTTACCAAATTGGGTGCAAAAATAGAAGAACAAATTGATACACTTAAATAGCTTAGAACAACTTATCAAACCCCATAACTACAAGCCCAAAAACATGGAATAGAACCAGAAAAGCTAACAAAAATAGAAAGGGCCACACGACCTAATTAATCAATTTTCTTTCGGTACAACAAAACCACTCAAATAACTAGAAAAGAAAGATGAAAACCACTCATCGAAAAAAGTTTCTTCTAATTGTAGGTTGTACATACTCTTATAAGTCGTAAGAAATCAATGGCGTTTGCAAAATGCAAGTGATGATGTAAAAGGGGCTTCTGTTAATATGTGTCCGTTAATGTAAGAAACGATAAGGCTTGAGTCTGCGAGCGAAATTTTGAGTCATCCTTCAGTTCAGCCTTTTAAATTTGATGCAAGAGTTGATGAACGTACACAGTTGTTTTATTTAGTGTTTGTTATATCAAATTCTTACGATGGTTGTTTCATGTTTGTTTATTTTATAATTTGTTAAAACTTTTAAGGACAAAATAGTTCATTGGAGCCTGGAATATGAGCCCATGTACAGTGAGATATTCTGTCTATTTTATTACAGTGGGAAGAGTAAATGACATTTTCCACCCAAGGTTGAAGAATCTCCAGTTACGGCCCCTGATTTCATAAATTACAAATTTTTCCTTAATTAACAGAAAACTATTGTAATCTAATAGTTAAAGGGTAAAATACTTATTCAAAGATAAAAAATTTAAAATAACCCTTCATTCTAATTCACCCTATCGAAATTTTGAAATAACCCTTCACTTCTCAAATTCACTCCACCATGATTTCAGGACTTCTGACCTATTTCTGGGTGTAGTTGACCCCTCCCAACAACCACCATTACTATCCCTTTAACCCTCACATCAAAACCCCTAACTTCCCGCTTAATTGAAACCCCTAATCGACGACCACCGCTTTGTGTCAGTTGACGTTTATCCAAATTTCGGCAGATCTCGACACATGAAAACCACCCCCAAGACCACTAATAGCATCGCCGACTTCGCCCCACCAAAACCCCTAACAAACACGACTGCAATGCTCGCTCGCCGCATCTCTCCCTTAGGTTTTCGCGTTTGTTGCCCTTTCAACTAAATCTGGCATTTCGCCGAGGTGCAATCGGGTGGAAAACTTAGGGCTTTTGGTGAGGAGGATGGGATGCTGATGGTGGCATCGGGGGATATCCAATGTGTCGGAATCAGGCTAGATTTTTGGCTTGGTGGATCTCCTCTGGGGGTATTTAAAGGAAAAGTACGGTGTTAATTAAATGGTGGAAATCTGTAATTTATGAAACCAGGGGGGAACTGTAGTCTGCCAAACCTTGGGTGGGAAAAGATCGTTTACTCCGTGGGATAAACTAATAATCTTGTCAGCTTAGGTGGACTCCAATCCATTCGTTCTCAGCGTGACTTATATCTACCATTCATAAATTCTTAAATGTGGAGGTCCCCTCCCCCTCACCCATATGATGGCTCTGCAAACAAACCTTTATCGCATTCACACTGTCACTAACAATAAAAATCTGTTTAATCACACTAACAAACTAGTATGAAGTCCCTAATCATACTAGTTGTTTTACTTAAGAGAAATTCAGAATAAATTCAAAGATTAAAGATTGTGGACATTAATCGCAATTCCGTAGAAATGCATGGCGCAATTAGTGAACATGCATATGTCAAGATATTTTAAGGGGTTGTGAACCCGCAGGGGTTTTTTTTTCACTAGAAGGAAAGCGGAAAGAACCACAAATTCAACTTTGGGAGAGCATCGAAGCCACCAGACTCAGTGTTGTCATTTCCTACTGTTAAAAACACTCATATTTCTTGCCATCAATAGTTATCAATTAGATCAAAAGTAATTTCCTTTGTACTAATTCCGATGTGTGATTCTCAGAGCATTAAGTTCAACAAACATAGCTTGCCTCCAATGATCGTGTTTGATAGCATTGGTGTAGCAGGAAGATTCTCGTTCGCAGATATTTGTGTGATACATATCCTATGTGCACGTGAAAGATGATCATAACTGATATAATTTGAAGTTGGATAGGTCGTACCTGATGTGGTTAGAATAGGAGGACAATCATAATCTGTTGTCCAAATGTGTGGGCGAATAGTACGGGTAGATCGCCATTGTGGAGGAGCAGCAACAGGTATATGAGGTTTTGGAGAACTTTCTGGTGAAGTATGATCAGATGGAGGTGAAGGTAGGAGTGCATGGAGAATGATGCATGTAATACTATAAAATATATATAAGTATTTTGCAAAAAATTTCAATCAAATTGAAAACAAATAAGGTGTAGTTTGTTACGTTAAGTCTTTAATAACATTGAAGAATTTTAATTTCAAGAGAAATTAAACAAAAGTGTATTCACGCTAAGGTAAAAGAAGAATTATGTTAAAAGAGATATTTAGGGTTCTTAGAAATTTTTTATCTCTACACTAAAATTGATATATCATTTTCTTTATCTACGTAGTCTTGTAAACAATTCAATAATTGTTTTGGACTTCCTTAAACAATTCCATAATTGTTCCATAATTGTTTTGGAGTAGTAAATAATTCCATAATTATTATGAAGTTATTAAACTTATTTAAATAATAACATTAGATTAACATTTAATCATAATTAACAATTTAACTCTTAAATTGTTTACATAGCAATAATTCTTGTTAGCTTAGGTGACTCCAATCCTGATAGAATTTGAGGTGGCCTGACTCCTCACCCAATAAGGCTTTGTTGAATGAGAGGATTACCCCTTTTTATAAACCAATAGGCTTGAGCGTGCCTAGTCGGTGTGTTACTCCAACACTTCCCCTCACGATCAAGCCCATATGTTGGGTCATGCCTATTGATGTAGGTAGTTGCTGGCTCTAACTCCTCACTCGCTGGTCAAGCGCTCAACTCAACTGAATCTGGACTCTGATACCATGATAGAATTTGAGGTGGGCCTGACTCCTCACCCAATAAGGCCTTGTTGAATGGGAGGATTACCCCCTCTTATAAACCAATAGGATTGATGCCGAATTTTGATGATGTAGAAGTAATGTAGCAGATTTTATGCAGTTTTGGTGGTGCAGAAAAATAATGCAGCAGATCAGAAATTTTATGCAGTTTTGGTGGTGCAGAAAAATAATGCAGTAGATCAGAAATTTTATGCAGTTTTGGTGGTGCAGAAAAATAATGCAGCAGATCAGAAATTTTGTGCAATTTTGGTAATGCAGAAAAATAATGCAGCAGATCAGAAGTAATGGAGTAGTTTTTTGGAGAATTTTGAATCAGTTGAGTTTGCGTGGAAATGTTAAAGATAATGGAAAAGAGAAGCAGCTTAGCTTGAGGGGAAGTGTTGACCAAAGATTCATGGTGCTAACTGCAAGTTCACAAAATGAGAGGACCTGACGATAGTTTTATAAACGATGTCGTTTTACTTTATGTGTAAAAGTCCTCTTCTCAAACGTGTTTTGTTAGCAGCTGCGACTTTACTCTTTTCTTAACCTTTTCACACTTTCTTCACTTGTTTCGTTCAAGTATAAAAGCAGCAACCATCCATTCTCAGCCTGACTTATATCTACCATTCTTAAATTCTATAAATGTGGAGGTCGCCAAACCTTGGGTGGGAAAATGTCGTTTACTCCAGTGGGAATAACCAATAATTCTTGTCAGCTTAGGTGACTCCAATCCATTCGTTCTCAGCCTGACTTATATCTACCATTCATAAATTCTATAAATGTGGAGGTCCCCTCCCCTCACCCATATGATAATGGCTCTGCAACAAACCTTTTATCGCATTCACACTGTCACTAACAAATAAAAATCTGTTTAATCACAATAACAAACTAGTATGAAGTCCCCTAATCATACTAGGTGGTATACTTAAGAGAAATTCAGAATAAATTTAAAGATTAACAAGATTTGTGTACATTAATCGCAATTCCGTAGAAATGCATGTGCCAATTAGTAGAACATGCATATGTCAAGATATTTTAAGGGGTTGTGAACCCGCAGTTACTAGAAGAAGACCACAAATTCAACTTTGGGAGAGCATCGAAGCCACCAGACTCAGTGTTGTCATTTCCTACTGTTAAAAACACTCATATTTCTTGCCATCAATAGTTATCGATTAGATCAAAAGTAATTTCCTTTGGTATTTTTATTTTGATTTTTGTTGTGCCCACACAACAGCTACAGCTATCTTGTTTGTTTTTTGAAATAAACATGAAATCAAGATCACAAGGAGGTTTCAAAAATACTAATAGTCTTATGATAAATTTAATCTGTCCTTTTGGTGCTGCATATGCAAACGTGATGGTTCTATATTAGAAACATTGCCTGGAAAATTTTTCTGTCAAGAAAGCACTGCAGGACTCAGAAAATATAGTATCTAAGAACAAACTATTTACCATTATTGATAAGATGTTTGTTTAACTATTTACAAATTTGTATAGGCAGCCTTCAAATTTATTTATTGATGAAACTGTAATTAGTGTGGGCGCTGCTTCTTCAAAGGGCAATTAAAATCCTTGAAACGTCACCCGTCGATCGTCATGCATGATCCAAGACTAGACGACGACAAATAACTATTAGTACGTTTGGTGACCCACATAATAACTATCTTTGGAGTATTTATGAGCTCATTTGACACGGGGCAAAAAATTTGTCATAAAAGTCTAAAATTATTGGCTAGATAGAGCAGGTATAAATTAAATTATAACGAAGATTGATAACGGCGTAATTTTATAAAAAAATTTCACGAACTCGGATGTGTTAATTCACAATCAGTCATTTTCTAATTAAATAGACGGAATTTATTATCAGTAGACAAGATGAACTAGCACATTAAAATTATGGGAAAAAACTGATAAGATTGGATTGTAAGTTGATAAGATACCCACTAAATTAATGTCATGCAACTGTAACCAGCTGCTAATTATCTACGCAGATAGTTATCATTAGAAGGAGAAAACATTTTTTATTTATTGATAATGACACGTGTGGCAAATTAAACAACACCAGGTCAGTAGACTGAGACGACCAAGTGAGGCAGATCACTTATTTATATGGCCGTAAGCAAGCGGAAACGATTATCGGAGACATCCATTAGAGCGAGAGAGATATATACCTCTGAGAAGTGAGAAACATATACACGTGAAAGTTTCAAGACGAAGAAGTTCGGTGATTGATTTTCAGAGAAATTTTCCAGGTCTTTCTTCTGGTCTTTGTTATATATACTTGGTGTTATCTCATTAATTGTTTTTAGTTTCCCGTTCAATTTTAGGTTAGATTTTTTTTTTTAAAATGTAATGGCATGATAATTCCTGTAATTTGTTTCCTTTACGTAGCAAGTTACATAGCAGAAAGCCAGGTAGACTCTCCAGAATTTGGAATTTGAAGATTTAACACTCAAAAGTATAGTTGTATAATGTAACTAGAAAAAAGTAGTTTTGTACTTAATATTTTCTATTTTTCATTTCTTTCATCTAGCTTGAGTGAATCATTCTGAACTTATATATATATATATATGCATCGAATCATTCATCTTTTCATATCAAACTTATGAGATGTTGTTTATAATTTGTGATTATTTGCCAGCTTGGTTTTAATTATCTGTTATCTAGCTGGCGTATGCTTCAAATTAACCACTTTGAGAAATCAGATTCGATTGCGAAGATGAAAGATTTAATTTAGTTTTGAAAGTTTATTATATTTTTATTGTGATCATTAGTTGTTTGTTATATTCAGGAGTGTGAAGTTGTCGAAGTTAAGAGTGAATCACTGAGGAATAAGGAAATCCTGTCAAACAATATTTCAGGCTGAGATGAGTAAGCCAGGAAGTTCCTCTGAAAATAAGCATCAAAACGAAGTCAAGGTAATTATTGATTTCAAAGACAATGTTGAGCGTCCAGATCATTGTTGTATTTATAAGGTTCCTAAGAAACTTAGGAACATAAATAATGATGCTTACAGTCCTCACATTGTGTCGATCGGTCCTTATCACCATGACCAAGAAAAATGGGATGACGTGCAAAGCAAAAAAGAATGGAAACGGGTTGACATGCAAAGCAAAAAAGAATGGAAATGGGATGACATGCAAAACCTAAAGAAGAGTTATCAGAAAGAGATTTTTGAGAATATCACAAAGAAAGAGAAACTCAACGACTTCGTCAAAAAAGAGGAACAACATATCCGCGCTTGTTATGAAGATAAATTTGAGGGGAGTTTCGATTTCAAAGAGATGATTCTGGATGATGCTGTCTTCATCATTGAACTTTTCTTGAGGAATTACCATGATGATAGACGAGATTTTTTGGTAAGTAAACCGTGGCTAACGAATGCTATAAAACTGGACTTGCAATTACTTGAAAATCAGCTTCCATACTTTGTCCTGGAGGAGTTATACATGTTAGCCTATGGCTATGGCTGCTCCACTAGACCTTCCTTCCTTACTCTTTCTTGCGAGTTTTTCGGTTATAAGGAGCTAGATAGAGAAGCGAAGAAAATTAAGCATTTTGTCGACTTGAGAAGACACACTATGTTGGTCGGAGTCGAAATCGATCCTAATATACAAATGTCTCTAGGCGGAAAAATTGAAGATTTACCAAGTGCAGTGAAGCTGAATGAGTCAGGGGTGAAGTTTTGGGTCGAAAACAAAGATTCACTGAAGCCAGGTGAGTCGAGGAGGAAGTGTAAGCAAGACAAAGAAAACGAAAACGAAAAAGGTTTGCTTAACATAAAATTTGAAAAGAGAGCAAGAAAAGATTCATATATTTGGTGGCTTAGAGGAAGGGTGCTAAAGATTCCACACCTTAAGATTGAAGATGGTACGGAATGTTTGTTTCGAAACTTGATGGCCTTGGAGCAGTGCCATTATCCATTTGAAACTCGTATTTGCAACTATATTGATCTAATGGATGCTCTGATCAACACGAGAAAAGATGTGGATTTGCTTGTTGACAAGAAAATCATCTCCAATTGTGTGGGCGACCATGATTCAATTAAAGAGATGTTTAACAGACTTTGCCTCGAGATTACGCCAAGTACTTCTTGTTACCAACGCACTTGCGGCGAGCTGAAAAAGCACCACGAGATATGGTGGAATCGCACCAAGGCAACGTTGATAAGTGTGTATTTTGAAAATCTTTGGAGAGGCACTGGAACTGTTGCTGCAGCCGTACTCTTACTGCTCACTCTGTTACAAACAATCAAACGATTCTATCCGGCCCTGTTTACGGATCCACAATAATTTAAGTTTGTGTGCTTTTAGACTTTTAGTACTCGTATAATTAGAATGTCTACTTCCTACTACTAAGCTTGTAATAACTTCGGATCTGTAGCTTTCATTTATTATAATGTATTCTCTCCCATGCCATATGTATTATTTAACCATTTACAATATCACTAGCTTACCTAATAAATTATGCTTTAATATATGTTTGAGAATGTGTATTCTGATTGACCCTAGATATCACTTACCAATAAATTTATTTATGTTCATGAGTTTAGTAACACATCAAATTACATCTTAATTTGAAAAAAAAAAAAAAAAAAAAAAAATTGGGTTATGGTATCCTATGTTACAAGAGCAAAAGAACAAAAACAATAACAAGAACATATATAAGGTTTAGTTAGACTTAAGAGTTAACTACCAAGCGAAGTTAAATCATTTATTTTTCAGTTGAAATTATAATATATCTTTCTTATTAGTAATCCATTAATCATCTATTTACTCTTGGTTAGGAAGACAGATGATCTGTGAGAAGCGAAGAGTCTGGAGTTTTGTAGCTTTGGCATAATTTTTGAACATCTCAGCAAAAAACTTACCGGCTCCATGAGGTTCACAGATGTAAACCTACACCAATCTATCCATGCATAAAACAGAAATAAGCATCTTTAGATTGAAGTCAAAATTCCAGAGTACTATGCTGTCCACAATTCATGAAGAAATATGTTTTTTGTTTCAACCTTATTAAAGGATCGGGAAACATATTAAGCTCAAATAATTCATCTGGGAATCCACACGTCATGCATATATTTTGTGAGGAGTGAGAGGCTGCGTGACAGGAGTATTGATAAATTGTATTTGATAATACATCAGTTCATTAACATCCAGCATTATTTGCATTTCGCTTTGGACTTCAGTCAGAGTTGCATTGCACACAATAACATGGTAATGTCTGACAAAGGAAAACGGGTGCAAATATAACTAACTTAAAATATTTGACCATTTACCTCAACATGCTCTATGCCAAATTCATCAGTATATACCCTGTTGGGAATACGTTGACAGGCTGCATGATTTCTGCTTTCCTGACCATAGCCAGTAATAGGGGATCCAATCCTCACTCTGACCTGATATAAAGCAATTTCAATCCTGGTGAATCCAAAGCACAATCATATGAGCTAAATTCATTACTTGAAACTTCTGTCAGAATGCAATAATAGTTTGTATAATGTTTAAACAGTACTGTTAAAAAAGATTCCCACAAATCAAATGCAAAATTAAAGAAAGCAACTAAAAATAAAGCAAACCAAACACAAGAATTTTAAAGTGGTTTGGCCCAATTAATTTAGCCTATGTCTACTATCCACTTAAGCAATCTACTAAACAAAAGTTTACAACTGTACAATTTTTAGAAGAAAAAAATTGTAAACTGTATACACTATCCTAAAAAGCCCAATTACACCCTTAATAACAACCCACATTAATGACTATTCTTTTGGTATCTATTTTAAACTTTTTGAGATGCTTTAAAAACCCAATCTATTAGTCTATTTAAAGGGGCGAGTCCCCTTGCAACTCCCATTCCCAGGCAATATGGGATTCAAGGCACTATCCCAACAATTCCTCCCTTGACTTGAATCCCTAAACATCACAGTAGCATCTGAAAATCTTACTCGCTTGATAGTCTTCTTTTCTTTCACAATAGGAAATTGGAACAACTTTATCTCTTGATTTCTTAAGACACACACCTTCATCAAGGAAATATAGTTGTTTTTCATTCCTTTTGCCTTGCAAAATCAAACCATCTTTATACACTTTACATCCATCTTTTTGACCAATGTAGCTATATCCATGAGAAGCCAGCTCACCTAAAGAAATCAAATTGTGACTACAACTCGGTACATACCTCACATGATGAAGCTTCTTGACAACACCATTGTGAAGCTTGAGATGAACGCTACCAACGCCTTCAATCTTCACTTTCTCGTTATTACCAACAATAATATTTCCATAAATTCCATCTTCTTTCAATTTAATGAAACAATCTTTATCATTAAAAACATGCATAGATGCAGTAGAATCTAAAACTCAACTTTTTTCACCCTTTGAAGTTTGAGTTTCATCCTGACATGTTACTAAAAATTCACCTTCATTATTAGCAACCCAAGCATCATCCATCGAAATCTTCATCTATTGAGCCTTCTTGAAAGCAAGCATATCTTGCCTTAATTTCTTGTGGCTTGGTTGGATATGTCCCTTCTCTCCACAATAATAACACTCTTTATTACTATAATCTCTGACTTTTGATTTATCACCTCTCTCTTGAGTCCTCCCTCGATTAGAACCTTCTGCAACTAGTAGATCTCTTCTATGTGATGAGTTCTCTGATCTCATAAACCTTTCATTTTCACGCAACAAGGCAGTCACATCATCTAGTTTTAAAGTAGATCTTCTTACCAATAAAGTTTGAACTAAAGGTCTATAATATTTAGGCAAAGATGACAACAATATCAATGCCTTTCCTTCATCCTTTAACTTATCAGAAATAGCCAACAATTGAGATACTAGCCTATTAAATTCATTTAAATGATCTATCTTCAGAGAATATAGATCTATCTTCAAACACAGTCTGTTAGTCAACGATTTCGCCACATAAATATCCTCCAATTTTTCCCACAAACCCTTTGGTGTAGACTAGTCAGCACGCTGTACTTTATCTCTAGAGCTAAAGTAAATCTTATTGTATTTATAACTTTCCTTTGAATTCTATTCCATTCTTTATCAGTCATCTTCTCTGACTTACTCTTTTCTAATGCCTGATCAAGACCTTGCTATACCAAAATGTCTTGTATTGTACTTTGTCATAACATAAAACTAATTTTTCCATTAAATAAAGGAACTTCAAACTTAGACATACCTCTAGAAAATTTGAGATGCATGACAGTCGCCAATCTACTCTTAAATCCAACCTCCTCTTGAGTTTGCCTTCTCCTAGATCACGAACCGTAGGCTTTGATACCACTTATTGAAAAAGATTCTCACAACTCAAACGCAAAATTAAAGAAAGTAACTAAAAATAAAGCAAACTAAACACAAGAATTTTAAAGTGGTTCGTCCAATCAATTTAGCCTACATCCTCTATCCACTAAGCAAAAACTTACAACTGTGTAATTTTTAGAAAAGAAAAACTGCAAACTCCTTACACTATCCCAAAAAGCCCAATTACACCCTTAATAACAGCCTACAATGACTATTCTTTTGGTGTCTATTTTACACTTTTTGAGATACTTTAAAAGTCTAATCTACGACTCGCACGTGGGAAACGCTGAGATGACTCAGGAGACACACGTGAATGTGGGATTGAGTGTATGAAAATGGAGAGACAATGTTTAAAGTGGTTCGGATGCTTGAACAAGCGAATCCTACGTCCATTGATATTGTATTTATATATAAAGGATCAGGTCGCAGCTAGCGAGCTGACTTTAGAGTATTGAAAACACAAATGAGAGGGAAAAAGAATAAGCTATTACAGAGTGAAAATGAGCTAATCAAGAGTAAAATGAGCGAATCCCACAAATGGGAAAAGAGCTCTCTATTTGTAGTGGGATACATTGGGGTAATAATTATTGAATCCGTAAAAAGGGGTGCAAGTACCGTGCTAATCCTTTTTTACGTTCCGTTGCTCACCTACTCGAGTGATTTCTTCATTTTGAGCAGGGATTGGACACGTGGATGTACTTCAGCCTTTCGTTAGTTCGGCGCACACCCACTACACTGGCAGGAGCATGCTGCTCATGCTAGCATGCGACGTGGCTGTGCCTGAACGGCTATAAGACTTGCTTAGACTCTAACCATTTATGTTGACTGGGCTTTGCGTTAGCCCTACTTTTCCAAGCGTAACAAAACAAAACAAATTACATAATAAAATTGCACTGAGAAGAAGCTGTGTAAAAGAAGAGGAAACGCTTTTTAATGAACATTCGCAATCTCCTCTTTATTTCTTAGGAAGAGAAACAATCTCACATCTCTCTTCTCTATACAATGAGGAAGAGATACAAAGTTATGTTTTTTTTTTTTTTTTTTTTTTTTTGAGTAAAAGGTAATATATAAAGAAAAAAAGAATGAGTCCCTGAAAGCACCAAAGAATGAAGCTATGTTCTTGTTCTGCAAATTGATGGCATTAGATTGCAGTGTTACAATCTATATTATCTAATGATGAGGATTTCTTGTCGAGGTCTCGATACCACACTATGAAAATGCTTATCTTGGGAAATTTGGAAAAAATTCCCATTTCAACAATCAACCCTCATTATTTCTTGTGTTGGCAAATTTGAGTTTGTCATGATGGTAATAGACAAACTTAAACATTTCTTGGAATAATGAAGAAAAACAAAACACATACAGGCAGATTCTTGATGTTGTGGGTAATTAAATTCAATTGACTAATGCAAATAAAGAAGTATCATTTTTCAGTCTCTGTCAAATATATACATATACAGTGCCTTGACATGATTTCTCCATCAGGCTAAAAAAATCAACAAATCCTACAAAGAATACTTGAAAGCTCATCACGCTTAAAAAATCAACAAATCCTACAAAGAATACTTGAAAGCTCATAAGACTAATAATAGAAAGATAGAATTTCTCTATTGATTGTTACATGTAAACCTTACTTGCGTTCCCAGTAGTTAAAACTATACAAGAGTTTACATATATAATATGTAATTATGAGATTATATATAATGTCGCTAGCTCCAACGATTAAGGCGTATCAGGAAGTTTATAATCATCAGCTGTTATATATTTCAAACGCAAACCCGGAAAAAGATTGTACAGAACATTCTGCACACTCCTTGGTTTCTTCTTGATCCTTCGTGGCCGCTTTGATCCACCCATTGCCATTATATCCGCTTCAATTTCTTCTTCAGTTAGCGAAATACAGAATTTACGCTTTTCTTTCCCTCTTGAATTTCCACTGGGTGCAGCCAGGGTTTGGTTCTCTACGTCCGCAACTTTCTTCTTTTTGTTTTTCTCACCACGGGTGCTCACCCTTGATTTCTTCTCCGAAGTCTCAACCTTTTCAAAATCTTTATTAGTTCTTGTGACGGCTAAAATTTGTTTCTGATCGGAC